TCAGCCGTGACACCCGCGATCGGCCCGGCGTGGATGGGTGTGTGCCCTCCAAACATCCTGCGGGCAAACCAAAGAAACTTGACGGTTGAGATGAACAGAATAGGAATCAGAATATTGTATTCATACCGCAGGAGGAGTCCGATGTGCTGTAAAGCTCTTTTTTTCCACAGATGTGCAGTGGGAACAAAAACTTGCGTCGTGAGCACGGCCTTTAAATAATTGTATTCATGTCATCAAAACAGGAGGAGGATGTCTCCACAATTGTGGCTGTCGCCCGATGAGGCTGGTTGTAATTACCAGCGAAACGTCGTACTCGATTTGTACATGTCGTGGGTTTACTCTGCCAACACACAACCGGTGTGCTGTACTAGTGACGAATTGGCACGTTTTGTTTACGTGACAAACCTTACTAGTTGGCTGTGTCGGGGTGGTGGCGGGTCTAACAACACATTTATATTTACGCGATCTAACCCAAAAACTCCTCTATTATGGCTAATATTGATCGCGAAAGCCTGACCACTACGTGTTAAATATCATCAACACGAGTCGTGAACAATCCACTGCTGGATGAAGGCCGCCCCCACGCCGTGTCGGCCATCGGGTGTGTTTGACCAAACCTCGTGGGCTGGCCACCGTGGCGAGGTGCATGGAAGTCGCGAGGCCGGTTCCGATCGGGCTCGCCCCTGACGCGTGTGGCCCTGGCCGGGAACAGAACTCGAGTCGCAGCTCCGCCCGTCGAGACGTTCAGAGACAAAATATCCCCCCCCCCCCCGTGTAGCCTCCAACAAGAAACTTGCTGGGGCGAAGTGCTGTGAGCGAGCAGCACCCATTAAGGCTGCCAAGGGGATTGGGTGGTTGGCCGGTTCCACGCCTATTGTCAGTCGTGGTGTGTACACACCGCACCACGTGGTGTGTACACACCGCACCAGGTGATGTGTACACACCGCAACAGGTGCTCATTTTAGGCTCAACCGGTCAGTTCAGAAGTTCGTCACTCATGTTAGCCGCGTGAGAGGGAATCGAACTCGGCTGGCCGGTCGATCACGACACAACGGCCCCCGACAACGAGCCATTCGGGGGTTTCCTCAACGCCACGCGGCTCTTAACGTTCAACTTCTTTGTTAAAATAAAAATCTGCGTTTAAACTAAAACTAAAACCCAGACTTGATTTTTTTTTACCAGGTAAGGCCCGCTGAGCGATGTCGCTCTTTTTTTCAAAATCGACCTGGCCAAAAAGGATCGTTCAACAAAGCGGCTTATCATCACGTGGACATGTTCGCAGTCAAATGCTCAAAATGCGTGATGTTGGTTCTAAATGTGGAGGGAAAAACCGGAGGACCGGGATAAAATCCCACGCGACCATGGGAATAGATACGCGTAGACTCCAAATATACAGCACCAGGCGTCAGGTTTGGGCTCGAACCCACGACCTCCTTTACACCTGGCGAGGTAGTTAACATCTCATAGCCACCTTGGCGCCCAAAAACGTCGCTGAAACCCAAACCGCGATACTGCGACGGCGTCTCCACGCCGGGATCCACGAGCTCCATGCCGCGACAGATTCGTGTCGACCCACACGCGGTGTGTGTGCGTGTTTGTGTGTGAAGAGCAACCCAGAGCCCAGGCCTACTGATGGTATCATTGACCTGGTCAAGAAGGCCTATGATACCATCAGTAGGCCTGGGCTCTGGGTTGTTCTTCGTGCTTTCGCAGTCCCTGGTCATCTGCTCACGCTCATTAAGGACTTTCATGATGGTGAGCGGGCCCGGGTAAAACTACGTGGCCGGGAATCAGATCTATTCCCTGTAGACCTTCGGGTGCGACAAGGATGTCCTCTGGCTCCCACATTATTTAACATCTATTTTGACCACGTAGTTCATGAAGCCTTCAATAGCTGTACCGGAGGAATTTCCATTTGGTACAGATATAATTGGAGGCTGATCGATGCCCGGGTGCGGTCAAGGGATGGCTCCCTATTGCTCAACCACGTTATGTATGCCGACGACGTGGTAATTGCAGCTCACTCAGAGGAGGAGTTGGAGGCGCTGCTGCTGAATCTGGAGCTTGCTACTAAGAGGTGGGGCCTTACCATCAGCCCCACCAAAACTAAGCACCTGCCTGGGTATTTTGTACCATCGGACACTCCACCCCCACAACTCCCAATTGGTGATAGGGCAGTTGTGGAGAGAGTGGAGAGTTTCCCATACCTTGGCAGTGTGCTCATGACCGACACCGGTTTAGCAGCAGAGGTCTCAATCTGAATCAGTCGAGCAGCATTATCTTTTAATCGGTTGCGTAACGCTGTGTGGAAGCTACCTAGTCTGTCGCTCCGCACTAAGCTTCAGGTCTTCTCGGCCACGGTCATTCCCTCCCTTCTCTACGCTTGCGAAACGTGGACCCCCGTAATGGAACATCTTCGCCGGTTATAAACATTTAGACTGGCCTGCCTACGATCCATCCTGGGTTTAACAGGCTGGATTGTGTGAGGAGCTCACAAATCCTTGAAAGATCTGGGCAAGGTCCCATCGGTGAGCTCCTCCGGCAGGCAAGGCTGCGTTGGCTGGGTCATGTAGCCCGCATGCCCAGCCACTGCGTGCCTAAACAGCTTTTGTTCGGCCGGATAGAGGGGGTTAAACGGGCGCGGCACGGGCTAGAGAAGAGATGGAGTGATGTGGTACAGGAGGACGTGGAGCTGAGTGGACTTGCCGATGACTAGTACCAGTGGTGGCTAAACGGGCGCGGCACGGGCTAGAGAAGAGATGAAGTGATGTGGTACAGGAGGACGTGGAGCTGAGTGGACTTGCCGATGACTAGTACCAGTGGTGTCAAGATCGGCCTCTGTGGAGGAGGCTCGTGAAGGATGCTACTTGGCAGTTGGAGGCAGTCGCCCTCCAACAACAACGGAGGGCGGAGGAGCGACGCTCACAACAACGAGTGGAGCGCCGGGTGGCTAAAGCACAGCAAGTTGGCACAGTAGGGGGCACAGGTGGTGCATCAGCCAGTCGTCTCAGTCAGTCAACCCGTGGCACTTGGGTCTGCCCCGTGACCTCCTGCCAGCGAGCGCTCGATACTTCACGTGGCCTCAAGGTGCACATGGCCTGGCACAAGCGTCGTGGTACACGTCACCGCCACTTAGTGGCGAGTGGCGGTTGTTGTTGTGTATGTGCATGTGTGTGTGCGCTTGTGTGTGCGCGTGTGTATATGCGTTGCGGGCGATACACGAGACGCTTCAACGACTCACGTCACAAAGCCAACACAAGCCTCACTAACACTGCCTGCGAAGAAAAAATATAATAGACGACGTTTCGGGCCAACGGCCCTTCTTATGCGAGATGAAGAAAGGTCATTACCCGAAACGTCGACGATTACATGTTTTATTTTGAGGCCATAGTGTTGTTGACAAGTGTGTTGCCCGAAAACAAAACGATATATACATACCAGGTGACTGATGGGGTAATTGCCCTAGATTCCTAGCACATAGATCAGCATCATCTATTGTTTCTGACGAATGTCTTACTCATAGTCGTACTTATTATTGTTTGTTTCTCCAGGAAAGTCGCATTGAGTCGCAGGGCTTATTTTCAGGAGGGTCGTGCCGCTGCGTCGAGTTTATTTATTTATTTAGAATACTCTATAAGTTGTTATACACTTCGTTGTTATCCAATGAAGTGACGAGGAGTTGTGTTGACGCACGAGGGGTTAAAACCGGAGCAGCCGGAGAAACCCCAGACGCGCGGGGGTCCCCCACCCCGTACAGATGGAAACAGATGGAAACAGATGGCGATGAGTCAACTTGCTGTACTGCTGCCTTCTCCTGGTTAGCAGCCAGGGCACGGCGCTTCCTCGGGGCTCACGGGAAGGGAGTTCTCACACCGTCCGCGCCGTCGCCACCGACACGCGCTGCGCATTGAAGCCTCGACAGAGGCGAGTGAGTGAGCGAGGGGTGATGTGGGGGTTGGCGGATGGTCGTGGCTGATGGTATTGGTGATTGTGTCTGTGTAAGGTGCAAGGCTGTATGTGTATGTATATATGTGTGTATGTATGTATATATGTGTGTATATATATTTATATGTGTGTATGTATATATGTGTATGTATGTGTGTATGTATATGTGTGTTTATATGTATATATGTGTGTATGTACGTGTTAGCGGCGCCACGAGTTCGATTCCCGCTCACGGCCAACATCAGTGACAATTATCTGAACCGGTCCTGGGCCTCCCCTAGGTCGGCCGAGCCTCAAATGAGTACCTGGTGCGGTGTGTAAACATCGCCTACTTGGGAGATAAAGGCGGCCGGGCGTGGTGTTAGCCAACCACCCCCTCATGTGCTGTGCCGGCCTTCATAGGTGCTCGCTAGCAGCATCTTGCCAGAACAGTCTGTTGCCGCTACACGGGGCTCTGCTGTTTGTGTGTGTGTGTGACTTTGGGTGTGGGGTTCCTTTGTCTTGTTGTGTGACTGTGTAGGAGGCGGCGATTGTCGTGGTGATTGTGAGAGTGGGGGGGAGCGGTAGCACAGCGTTTAGTGCACTGCGCTACGAACCCGGCCACCCAAGTTCGATTCTCAATCACGGACAACAGCGATTATCTGAACCGGTTATGAGCCTTTCCTCGGGCCATTAATCCTCAAATAAGAACCTCGTGCGATGTGTAAACATCGCTACTATAGGGAGACAAAGGCGGCTACCTACCCCCTTTGGTGCCTTGGTGACCTTGATATAGGTCCATGGCGAGGAAGTACTTGCCCCAACAGTCTGTTAAGGCTACACGGGGAATCTTTGTCTTTGTATGTGTGTGGGGGGTGAGGGTTCGTGGGGGGGGGAGACGTGTGGGGTTTGAGGGCAGCAGCAGGAGGAGGCGGCGGCGACGTGCTCACATCTTGGCTGCAAAGTGACATTCCATGCATTCTGTTCCGCTCGGGTTGGTGTGGGGCGGAGATTGCAATGAAAATAAAATAACTGAGATGGGGGGCAGGGACGGAGGGGGAAGGGAGAGAGAGAGAGAGAGGCAGGGTGGGGAGGGGAGAGTGAGTGTGTGAGCGTGTGTGTGTGTGCGTTTTACGCACATTCCTAACCAACATTCTTCACCATTAGCCAGAGTTCGCTGCTCGCTCGGTGCGCGGTTTAGCCTCAGCGCTCCCGCGGACTTTCCACGTCCATGTCTCTTTGTGTCTTGTCGTTAGAGTCAGAGTCAAAGTTGCCATATTCATTAATCGTGTTGTATTTAGCGCTGTTGGATACCGGCGGTACTTTAATGATTCATTAACAAAAAGTTTAAGTTGTTAGGCTTTGCGTTTTGCTCCGCGTGTGGAGAAACCGACCGACAGAGAATCAAGTTCGTCTGAAATACAATTCGTGTGTGAAAGATAAAGATTCATCGTGACTACGCCTCTCCTTCACCACTCAGGTACAACACGTGCCTACCGGCGCAATGCTCTCCTTGCGCGTGGTGTCATCAGCAGTACATCATGTATGTAGTACGTATGTTCAGAAGCTAACGTGTCAGTGTATAACTCTGCTGGCCATGACGAGAGGGCTTCTTCGGGAGAGTTCGTTCGTGAGGTGTTGCTCGCTTGCTTTTCCATTGAAAGAGCACAGACGACTGCTGTGCAGTGGTTCACTCTCCTTGGTCTGTAGGCTGTAGTGTATGGCCACAATCCCACTATTATACATGGCTTTAATGTATCTCTAGGGGCCTCTATGATTCTCTATGGGTCTCTGAGTCTCTATGGGTCTCTGAGTCTCTATAGGTCTCTATGATTTGCTATGGATCTCCTTGATTCTCTATGGATCTCTTTGATTCCCTTTGGGTCTCTACGATTATCTACGGGTCTCTGTAATTTTATACGGGTCTCTGATTATATGTGAGTCTCAATGGATTTATATGATTATCTATGGGTCTCTATGAGTCTCTATGGGGGTTCTATGAGTCGCTATGGGTCTCTGATTCTCTATGGGTCTCCTTGAGTCTCTATGGTTCTCTGATTCCCTATGGGTCTCTATGATTCTCTACGTGTCTCTATGATTCTCGGGGTGTTATGGGTCTCTGATTCTCTATGGGTCTCTATGAGTCTACATGGGTCTCTATGAGTTTCTATGGCTCTCTGAGTCTGTGATTCTCGATGGGTTTCCTTGATTCTCAATGGATCTTTATGATCCCCTATGGGCCTCTACGAACTCTATGGGTATCTAAGATTATTTGTGGGTCTCTTTGATTCTCTAAGGGTCTCTATGATTCTATATGGGTCTATACGATTCCCTATGGGTCTCTATGATTATCTGTGAGTTTCTATGATTCCCTATGGGTTTCTCTGATTCTCTATGATGCTCTATGGCAGTATGTTCCGGCGCTAGATGCCAGTGTCGAGGCTTTGCTGCTGCTGCTGTTGAAATAAGCGCAGCCCACCACGGTGAGTTTACTGACATCGCTCGGGTTGGGTCGCGACAATATAACTACTCTACGTGGTGTTTGTATCATGAGTCATGAACGATCCATTGCTGGAGGAAATTCTTCCCAAGTCGGCGTGTCCGTCTCTCTATGACAACTCGAAATTCGTGTACCGGACAAAGCACGCGGTTCAAATATAAAGTGTAATGAAATATAAAGTGTAATGAAATATGAAGTGTAATGAAATATAAAGTGTAATGAAATATCAAGTGTAATGAAATATAAAGTGTAATGAAATATAAAGTGTAATGAAATATAAAGTGTAATGAAATATGAAGTGTAATGAAATATAAAGTGTAATGAAATATAAAGTGTAATGAAATATAAAGTGTAATGAAATATGAAGTGTAATGAAATATAAAGTGTAATGAAATATGAAGTGTAATGAAATATAAAGTGTAATGAAATATAAAGTATAATGAAATATGAAGTGTAATGAAATATGAAGTGTAATGAAATATAAAGTGTAATGAAATATAAAGTGTAATGAAATATAAAGTGTAATGAAATATGAAGTGTAATGAAATATGAAGTGTAATGAAATATGAAGTGTAATGAAATATAAGTGTAATGAAATATAAAGTGTAATGAAATATAAAGTGTAATCGATGAGCGGTGGCGCAGTGGTTAGCGCAGTGACGCTAGTTCAATTCCCCGATCACGGGCTCGCTAACATCGGCGCGCGAGTGATATCTGAACCGATCCTGCCTCCCCCCATCTCCACATTCACCAATTGTGCACTGACCAGCGTGGTGAAGTATGGTTAAACGACCCCCACGACCGACACGGCGGAAGGCGGTCTTCATCCAGCAGTGCATTCAACCTCAGAATGTGCGTTTGAATTTTGATTTAAAGCTTTCGTGACTGCACTAATTCATATTCTTAGCTCTTTCGGTAAAGTCACGTTGAAGGGAAACAATTAAATAATAAAAATATATAAAACAATAAAAATTCTCACGACGTTTCGACCATAACACAAACGGTCATCATCAGGTGCGACAACCAACGGTCATCATCACACCTGATGATGACCGTTTGTGTTATGGTCGAAACGTCGTGAGAATTTTTATTGTTTTATATATATTTTATTATTTTATTGTTTCCCTTCAACGTGACTTTACCGAAAGAGCTAAGAATATGAATGTGCGTTTGTTTAGAGATCAGCCAGCACGGGAACTGATATGGGTCAACAAACACATCATCATTGCCATTGTGAGCATCACCACAATCATCGTGTATCCGCGGTCGATAGAATCAAGACCACTTTGTCAGAAGTGAATTGTGATTGTCGTTTGGGTTAACTTTCCCTCGTCATAGGAATGAGGAATTTCCACTCCTGGTTCAGAACTTGCGTTGACGACCCTTTGACACGAGTGCGTGAGTGTTCGTATGCACATGCCGGCCTTAATAGGTGCTCGCTCGCAGCATTATCGCCACATGGGTGGCCACTGAGGCTTCCTCCATACAAATATTCAGCAGGGTTCTGGCTTTGGGTGTTTGGCAAATGCCGTGAGAGAGGAAACGGAGGGGGGGGGGGTAATCCATAGAAACCCCACGCCCCCACAACACAACGCGTTACATTTTAACACGCAGGTTACTGATGATTACAAAAACAAATGTTCGGTTAGATCGCGTAAATATGAGTGTTGTTCACCCACCGCCACCCGACACGGCCAATTAGCGGGGTTTGTCACGTGAACAAACCGTGCCGATGTGCTACTGCGTGAACACGTCGGCTGTGTGTCAGAGAGCAGAACCCACAATATTGACACTTCTCACAATCGCCTGATGATGCTGTGAACTAAACTACGAAACTACAACTATTTTTATTTTGACCAGGTAAGGCCCACTGAGCTGTATAGTTATTTTTCAGAAGCGAGCTGGCTATCACAAATGAGAATCCCAATGAAGCGGCTTTTCATCACGTGGACATTTAAAGCAACGGAATACTCTCAGCACGTGCTGTCGATCCTAAATGTGGAGGGGAAAACCGGAGGACCCGGAGAAAAGTCCACGCGAGCACGGGGAAGAGAGACACCGCAGACTCCAAATGTTTAGTCATCAGGGGTCAGGGTCGGGATCGAACCCACGACCTCCTGTAGACTAGGCGAGGGAGTTAACATCTCGCTACTGTGGCGCGTGTTGTAATCACCAGCGACACGTTGTACCCTGTAGTGCACCTCAACAAGTGTAAACAGTTTTAAGTAGTAAACTAAAATAGTTTAAGAAAACGTGTTGTGGGCTTTCTCTCTAACACACCACCGGTGATGCTGAAGTGGTAAGGAAAGCGGCGTGTGCTGTTCCAACCTGTCGGATCGAGGTGGGTGTTCGACACGTTCACGTTGATGCGATCGAACCCAACAACAACAAAAACAACTCTGTCAGGTGCATTGTATCAGCGCATAAAGTAAGAGCCAAAGATTTAAAATGTGTGTATGTGAGCGTGGTGTCGTCATTGCGCCGTTGTTTGCCACGCGTCTGTGTGTGTCAATTCCTCGCCTTGGTCACCCGCTGACAAAACGAAGCGTCCCCTTCTCAAGGGATCCTCCGTCTGAAATATACATTACAACATACATATACAACATAAATATACAACAAAAATAGGCACTTGATGATTGTGATGATGGTGGTTCTGCAATCTTAAATGTGTTTTCTTAGCATGGGCAAACCATGCATGTTCACTGTTGAACTAGAACATTTATGTCCGAAGATGACGGTGATACTGCTGCTGGTGATGGTTGTGATGAGGCTTACTGGTGTCAGATGATGTTTGCTGATGGTGATGATGATGGTGATAGTGATGGCGTTTTTGGCGAATGATGGCAGCGGACGGTGGTGTTGTGCTTGTTGATGTTGATAATGATGATGTTGATGATGGGATTAGTAATGGTCACCACGGTGGCTTGGAGATGTTACCTACCTCGCCTGGTATGCAGGAGGTCGTGGGCTCGATCTCAACCCTGACTGATTCCTGTACATTTGGAGGTTGCATGTTCTCCCTGTGGTCGCGTGGATTTTTCTCCAGGTCCTCCGGTTTTTCCCTCCATTTATAATCAACATCACGCGTTTAGAGTGATTAGCTGCTATACATTGCCACGTGATGATGACAAGCCTCATCAATGAGTTATAATTTGTGGTTGCCGGGTTGCCTCTGAGAAAGAGCGACATAGCTCAGTGAGCCTTACCTGGTAAGATAAAAAAATAGGTTAGTTTTAGTTCAGATGTTGGTATCATATGATGTGATGAAGGCGATGATGTTAGTGACAGATAATGAACATTATGGGGAGTTATTGTATGATGATAGATGATGATGTGAGCGGTGGCGCAGTGGTTAGCGCACTGTGCTATGAACCTGGCAAGCTGAGCTCGATTCCCAGCCAAGGCTAACATGAACCGATCTTCTTAACCCCCTCCTTCACCAACCCATACTGACCAGCGTGGTGAAGTATGGGCACACAGCCCCCATGAACAACATGGGACGCCTTTGTCCAGACGTGGATTGGCAAAGAGCTGTACATAATAACAAATTATTGCGATGGTAGTACGCATGGCACATTGATAATGGTGATGACGATGTCGTGTTACATGAATGTGGTCCGTGGCTTGAGATGGAGCTGTGAAAGTTTACAACAGTGACCCAGACTTGCATGGAGGTTCACAGACTCGCGTACAGATCCATAGAAACACACACACAGACCCATAGGAATAATGATGGAAGCGGTCACTGTAAGTTGACTCTGTGCCGTGGTTTGGAATTGGTAACCGCTGTTGCATTACGCTGGGGGTCTATTCTGGACGGCCCCGTTGGCCTGGCAAGGCCACTCGTCTTCCACGAGATGTCCAGCAGCCGCTGCTGCTGCCGCTGCTGCTGCCAAACGTTGACCTCCCGCCCACCCTTGTCTGCACCTCCACATTCAGAAACGCGCGTTGAGATTATTTTGATTAATTTAGCAAATATAAATCCCCGCTCGAGGAGACGCTTTGTTGAGCGATCGTTTGTGATGGCCAAGTCGCTTTCTGAAAAAGTGAATACCTTAGTGGACTTTGCCTGGTAGGATGCGGATGGTTTCATGTTGTATTTGGATGTTTTTGGGTGATTTGTTTTGCCTGTACTTTGCACTCCGATCGTGTTTGTGTGCCGTTTGTTGTTGTAACATTCTGACCCCGTGCCCTAACTGGACATCTGTGATAAAAGAGCTTTATAGTTCAGTATATTCTGGTTCTGTTTCGTGTCGACCGACAGGCGAAGGACCGATACCACAGGAGGCCGGCGGGACAGCCACGGCTACCTAAGGGGGCCGCTCCTCCCTCCCTCGTCGGGCGACCGGTGGAGAGACACGCGGGGAGAGAAGCGCGCCGAGAGACGCGCCCGCGGCATGAAGCCCTGCCCTCCCATGGAGGCGAGCGACGCGGGCTCGTGCAGCCCCTTCATCCAGCGCCTGATCCAGGAGCAGCTGCGCCACGGGGACCCCAACGAGGCGCGCCTCCTCCTCGCCCTACAGCAGCAGGCCGCCAAGGCGGCCGCCGCGTCGCCTTCGTCGTCCGCGTCGTCGCCCGCCGATCGCCAGGATCCCCAAGGGCAGGAGGAGGATGGCGAGACGGAGCCGCTGCCGCCGTCCTATGCCGAGGCCAAGGCCCTCGCGATGAGCCGCCAGGCCAACGCTGCCGCGGCTGTGGCAGCTGCTGCTGGCGGCGGTGGCGGTGCCTGCCTGCTGGTGGAGGACTACCAGCGTGCACTACCGGAAGCGGAGCTCTGTGCGAGCTCCCGCGTCTGGCTGGCGAATGGCGCTCCGTCGTCGTCGCTGTGCGAGGATGCGGCGGCGGCGGCGAATGGGAACCTGCGATCGCTGGGCGAAGTTGCCTCTTTCACCCAGGAGATTGCGTACGCACAGCCCCACCAGCAGCAGCAACATTTACAGCATCTACAACAGCAACAACAACAGCAGCAGCACCATCTACAGCATCTACAACAGCAGCAGCATCTGCAGCAGCATATTCAACAGCAGCATTTTCAGCAGCAGCAGCAGCGTCTGCAGCAGCAGCGTCAGCAGCAGCAGCAGCAGAGGGGCACGGCGGTGGCCAAGGGCCGCCAGGGCGGTTTGAGTCGCGCCGCGTCACAGCTGTGCAGCCGCCAGGCCGTAGGCTGGAGCCGGATGACGCACAGGGCCTGCTACAGCGACCCCAGCTCCAGGGAGCGCTGGGAGGAGCAGGGGGACGTCGCCCGCGGAGACGGAGCGCCGCGCGAGGCGCGTTGCCCCCCGCGGGCGCCGGCCGACACGGCCTGGCTCCGGGGGGCGGACCCCCCCTCGCAGTTCACGCCGCAGCAAGCCCGGTAAGGAGCGTGAGCGAGACGCGTCGACACGGTTTTGCTTTTGTACCGATTTCTATTCGCTTCAGGGTCGTGCTTTGCTTGTCTTTTGGCTGTTGTTGTTGTTGTCCCCTTTCGGTGACCCGCGTCACTCTCTCGCGAGTGAGACTCATATCCTGGCCTCTTGACTTCTCTCACCTGGTTCACACAAACTCAGCTCGTGGCTGCAACTTTGGGTTGATGGCGCTCCAATGGGATGTGCCACGTGGTTCGCTGGTACGATGGACATCGTTTCTGAAGGAGCTCGTCAAGGAGCGTGAGCCATCATGGCGCAAACTCAGCTCATCCTCGCAGTGGTGGCTTTTTGGCTGGGCCATCGAACAAAGGCGGTCACCGCATCGCACTGCGCTTTCAGATGTGCTCCTGTGGCCGTCTGGAATGCTCTTCCTTCCGATATTAGGAAGCCGCTCGAGCTATGCACTTTTAAATCCTTATTTAGATTTAAAACTGATTGAGATTGTTGTCCTTCCGCCGCACCTTCAATTAGCAAGTTGGCTACGTACGGTACGAAAGAAGATCAACATACACACATACAACGTGTACCACTGTAGTGGTAGTGTCGTGGTTAGCGTACTGTGCTACTAACCCAGTGACCCGAGTTCGATCCCTGCTCATGGCCAACACCAGTGACGATTATTTGAACCGTCCAGTGCCTGCTATCGGTTGACTCGGCCTCAAATGAGTACCTGGTGTGTTGTGTATACACCGCCACTGGGGAGACATACGTACATACTCGACAGGAAGAGCTTCAGCAACAGAAAGAGAATTCCTCGCTCCCGGTGCGTTGAGTGAAACGTTAGACGTGCCAAAAAACAATGCGCGGCACATCCCGTGGGGCGCTGCGGTGGCTAGGAGATGCTAACTACCTCGCCTGGTACACAGGAGGTCGTGGGTTCGATTTCGATCCTTACACCTGCTGTATATTTTGAGTTTGCATGCCTCTCTCCCCGTGGTTGCGTGGATTTTTCTCTTGGTCCTCCGGTTTTCCCCTCCAAATTTATAATAAATATCATGCGTTTAGAATATTCTGCTGCTATAAATTTTCACTTGAATGATAAGCCACTTCGTCGCATACAGCGCAACAAGTCGCGTGAACGTCACCGCTCGCTGCTGAAGACGCCTTTCTGTCTCCGCAACGCAAGACGGGATAATTCGACGACGCCAGCGCTTCCTTGCTTGCGAGGTCTAAAGCGGATAAATCACCAATTCGCCTTCGAGGGCGACCGGATCGCCTCGCGCCGGAACGACAGATCCGCCGGTGTCGCCAGGTCGACGGCGTCGCCATTTGGTGCCCGATCGGTATGGCTAGGATGCGTGCACGTTGAACGTCTTTCGCACCGTGCAAAGCCACATCGTGCTCATCCGAGGTACGGCAGAAGTACAACAAACTAAAACACAAAAAAGTAGTTCAAAATAAATGACTTTATCAATCTGGATGATTTAAAAGTGCATAGCTCCGGTGACTGCCGAATATCGGAGTGGAAGAGCGTTCCAGATGGCCACAGAAGCGACGCGGTGACCGTCTGATGAACGAACTGTCGTCTCGCGGGCCGTTTTGAAGTGGCAGGCCCTCCCTGGTGCGACCGCGAGGCCACTGCGAGGTGAAGTTATGGGGTCTTGTCTGGCCCACGGGGTCTGTGCCGTTGTTACATAAGGTCGTAAAACAACGGAGTTTATAGCTAAAAAATGTGTGAGCAAGGGGCAATTCACATTGCATCATTATCTCTCATTAGTCATTACACCAGTGTCCTCGGGTTCAGCCAGGTGAGTCGCTTGGCGCAGGTTCTCACAGTCAGCACCATCGTGTGATCGTGTGAATGGCACGAACCTATAACGCCTGGGTCTCGCCTGTGATGGCGTATAGGCGAGATTTTGTCACATTTATGTGGCCTCAAAGAGCACCTAGCTTGGCACCTGCACTGTGGCGACACCACCGCTACTACTATGAAGTGGTGAATAGCGGCTGTGTGTATATACATGAGCGTGGGTGTTTGTATTGTGTGGGGAGCGGTAATGTAATGGTTAGCGCGCTGCATTAGGAACCAGATTTCCGCTCATAGCCAACACCAGTGACGATAACCTGAGCCATGTCCTGGGCCTCCCCTAGGTTGACTCAGCCTCAAATGAGTACCTGGTGCGGCGGTGTAAGCATATCTACTGGGGAGACAAAGGTGTCGTGTCCTATTCCGGGCCTTCATAGGTGCTTGCTAACAGCACTTGCCACTCTATTCTGTTAAATGCAATACGGGGGATCTTTGTCAAGTGGGTATGTTAGGAGTGGGGTTGCGGTAGATTTAAAACTAATTTCTTTAAAACCGCTTGTTGTTGCGTTGCGTTTGTTATCCTTCCCTATCGCAACCTTCGATTAGCACGGTTGGCTACGTACGGTGCGAAAAGAAGTTCAACGTACATGCATAACGAATATATGTGACATACGTACGCATGTGACCACACCTCCAGGAGTAATGCGCTCGATCTCGGCACGTGACAGGCAGGGTCACCAGTGGCGGTCTCGCGGGGTTACGTTGTGCGCGTGACTCCCAGCCATACACACAACCACGCACCGCCTTCACCAAACCCACGCCGGCCATGGTGAAGTATGGTCGATTAACCGCGACAAAAACCGTGCGGCTACTGGCGAGGCCCCCGCGTGCATCCAGCAGTGGATCAATGATGAATGAACTCCGGGGTGTGGAATTTCGTTAAACAGAAACAAGAAGTGTTATGATTGAACCCGCATTGCAACAGTAGGGGACAGAAGACTCTCTCTTGTGGTATCCGCGGTTGGTTAACTCCAGGCACATGGCCCCCTGTGTACGCGTGTGTGTTGAACTTCTTTCGCACTGTACGTAGCCAACCGTGATAATCTAAGCTAAACTATGAAAACTATAAATTTTGATTTAAAGCTTTCGTGACTGCAGTAATTCATATTCTTAGCTCTTTCGGTAAAGTCACGTTGAAGGAAAACAATAAAATAATAAAAAAAATATAAAACAATAAAAATTCTCACGACGTTTCGACCATAACGCAAACGGTCATCATCATGCCGTTGGTTATTCACACCTGATGACGACCGTTTGCGTTATGGTCGAAACGTCGTGAGAATTTTTATTGTTTATATATTTTATTATTTGATTGTTTCCCTTCAACGTGACTTCACCGAAAGAGCTAAGAATATGAAAACTATTTTATTTTACCAGTGTAAGGCCCACTGAGCTGTGTAGTTCTTTTTCAGAAGCGACCTGTCTGGTTTCGCGAGTCGAAATTGATAGCAGCCAAAGACCCGAACCGCGTGGCGATGTTGATTCTACACGTGGAAGGAGAGACACGCAAACTCCAAATATACAGCCGGCGTTCGGGCTGGGATAGAAAACACGACCTCCTGTATACCGAGCGAGGTAGTTTACATCTCCTAGCCACCGTGGCGCCACGGAGGTCTTGGGAAGGACAACAGAGACCCACACAAAGTCGGGGTTTCCACCCGTCCCGCTTGGACCTTGCCTATCTGAGAATCTGCTTCATTTGCATTTGGGTGACGAGATTTGCTTTGCATCGAGACGTGGTAGTGGCGTTGTGTGTTGTATGGGTGTACCATATGTCGCATTTCTTTCGCACCGTACAGCGCCAACCGTGCTAATCGGAGGTGCGTCAGAAGAAGGACAAAAAATTAAACACAAAAGGCCGTTCTAAAGAAATTCGTTTTCAAACGAACCCGATTGCATCGTACGCGTGGCTGCCGACCGAGAAGCGGATACGCGTCTGGATCTACGGCAAGGGAGACTAGGTGGTGGCCGCAGATCGCCGTACAAACTCAGTCCTCGAAGCTCTGAAACTCTGGCAACCACGAGGTCGTCAGACTCTTGAACGGCCCTGTCGAGACCGCATTCGCGAATGTTCACTCGACGTCTCTGCCACTTGACACCCACGCAGACAAAGACACCGGCACGCGCGCGCGGTCCGCGCCTTCTCGCCTGTGACCAACTCGCGCGGAATGCGGTCAGTCTCGTCGCGTCTCATCTCAAGGAAGCGAGGCCGGCTGCTGCTGCTGCAGCACGCGCGGTGTTTGGATGGGCGACCACCGTCCACCACACGGGTTGTCTTGGGGCTGCCGGGGGCCGGGACGGCGGGTGGGCTATAGGGGAGATGTTGTAGGGGAGATGCTATAGGGGAGATGCTGTAGGGTAGATGTTGTAGGGGAGATGCTGCAGGGGAGATGCTGCAGGGGAGATGGTGTAGGGGAGATGCTGTAGGGGAGATGTTTTAGGGGAGATGCTGTAGGGGAGATGCTGTAGGGGAGATGCTGTAGGGGAGATGTTTTAGGGGAGATGATGTAGGGGAGATGCTATCAGAGAGATGCGAGAGGTGCAAACTCACATTCACACGAATTTTACAAATCTGTTTGGAGTACTGGACTGCGTGAATGTGTTACTATTGTCCGCGCCTCCTATGTGTACCGCTGTAGTGGTGGTGTAGCAGTTAGCACACAATGCTACCAACCCGGTGACGCGGGTTCGATTCCATAGGTCGGCTCAGCCTCAAATGAGTACCTGGTGCGGTGTGTAAACATTTCCACTGGTGGAGACAAAGACGGCCGGGTGTGGTGCTGGCCACCGACCCTCTTGTGTGCCGTGCCAGCCTTCATAGGTGGTGCTCGCTCACAGCACTTGCCCCTCCAGCCTGTTCAGGTGACACGGGGGTAATACACACGAGGCGACAGCCAGAGCAGAATGCACGACAGACAAAGGACAAGTTGCATCGTTTTAGCGTTCGCTTAACGTTTCTTTCACATTCACGGCTTTTGGCTGGCATCGAACAAAGACGGTCACCGCATCGCGCGCGTTCATATGCGCTTCTGCGGCCGTCTGGAACGCTCTCCCTTCTGATACTAGGAAGCCACTGGGAGCTATACACCATGCCCGGCCGCCTTTGTCTCCTCAGTGGCAATGTTTGCACACCACACGAGGTGCTCGTTTGAAGCTGAGTCGCCCTAGTGGAGGAGGCCCATGACCGGTTCAGATGATCGTGACTGGAGGTGGTGGCCGTGAGCAGGAATCGAACTCGGTGTTGCTAACCGCTGCTCCCCTACCCCCTCAGTACCATCACCCACCCCACCCCCACCCCACCCCCACCGTGTGTCCTCTGGAGGAACTGACCACAGGCGTAGGAATGTAAAAAATTGCCGCGGCCGACTCTGGGGCCTCCACTCGAGATTAATGCCTCCCCATGTTTGTTGGGAGCGTGGAGACACTTGGCACCCACTTTCAGATTTTTTTGTGCGTACAGTGTCCAGAAATAAATAAAAACCCGACTTTGGTCCGTCCGTGCGGCTCTCAGCGCAACAAAATAAGAGATACGTTTTTGGCCATCAGCCTCTGAGGCCATCCAGACTAATGCTATCCAGCAGCGTTTGTTTAAGCGAGCAGCGTCCCTATCGGCATTGACCCTCTGGTTCTCATCAACCGGGCAGTAGAGTGGCGCAGTGTGTAGCACTTGCGCCTAACAACAAGAAGAACCTGGGTTCGATTTCAGACTTGGGCGCCTTCCTGTATGGAATGTGCATGTTCTCCTCCCTGTTCTGCATCGGTTTCCTCGCTGTTCTGAATGGGTTTCCTCCGAGTTCTCCGGTTTCCTACCATAATAAAAAAAACATTGGCCAAAACATCCCAATGCTGAAACATTACCTGGAAATTACTCAATTGGGATTACACAGCAGCTGCATCGTCCACGACTGTAAAAACTTAGCAGGATCCTCCTGAAATTAGAGTCTTGAGACTCAGTGAGGCTTTCCTGGGTAAACAAGAGAAAATTAAAGTAAGCGGATTCACGCCTCTGTTGAAATGACTCCACAGGAGTGAGATCTATCTTTAGCTGCCACGCCAGGATATTGAACGGGTCGACCCCTGCCATTACAAGTCCAGTATGCGAAACCGATACACCGCAGAAGCATTCCACGTATTCAAGTGCTGGGGTGCATTATAATGATGGCTACCGTGCATTCATTATTGTTTTTAATTATTTGCATTGCTGCTAAACTCGTCAATGTTTGATGTATTTTCACGATTGTCCTTTGTTTCTCCGCCACAGGCCTCTGCCCACGCCTGCGTCGATGCCAACCTTGCACCAGAATTTCCAGGCACCTCCGGCCCAAATTCCACCGCAGCAGCAGCAGCCAAGCCTCGGCCTAGCGGAGGTTCGGGCCCAGCGGCTAGGCGAAGCCTTGGCCCAGGAGAACAGACTTTTGCGAGCTCAGTTGGAGGAGCAGAAAGATAAGATGTGCCGCTTGGAAAAGGTATGTCGCAATGGAAAAAAAAGGTGGCCTTACAATGAAGTGAACATCACTGAATAGCACTGCCCAAAGAAATATTTCAGAAAGTGGGATCTATAAAAAATAGATTAATAATGACAACAAGTTTTAGAATATGGTCATGTTCAATATGCGGTTCTGTTCTCCTATATGGATGTGAAATCTGGACAATTACAACAACCCTACAGTGAAATACTAGAAGCAACAGAGAAGTGGGTTTTAAGAAAGACGTTAAACGTTGCATGGAGAGACATGAGATGGGTGAACCACAAATGTGTGATGGAAAGCAGCAGGGTGCACGGACATACAATAAGAAAACAAGATGAATGATTTAAGTTCCACAAAAAAATCTGAGGAAAACGGGGGATCAAGTTGCAACGTAAGCAATGCTAATAATTGGATACAACTGGAAGTTTCCAATGCACAACCTCTTGAGTAAATATCACGGACAGAGCTAAGTGTGAGTAAGGCTGTGTTCGCCAACAGTCTTTGACAAAGGACGTGGCACAGAGAGAGAGACAATCATTGTAAACATTTTCAAAGGTTTCGGTTTTAATTAGGTTCACTTTTGGCAGAGTTGGCGAGTAAACGGTTATAAGCGGCTGTAATTATAAGTTTCAGCTACAATTACCATTAAAAGATTTCCATAATTAAATCTATTGCTTTTGAGCTTATTTTGCTCTATAAAAGTTAGAAAATTACTGACGAAATTTGAGTTTCAAAAGGAAAATTATTGTTAATAGCTTGGGTAAACGTGAGGAGAGCAGCAGCCAATGAAAACTGGAATAGTTTACTACGGCAGTCATAACATCGCCTGCCCTTTAATTATCCACAGGGCTTCTTCACAAACTCTCAACATTCAACATCACGATCATTCCGCATCGGGATGGGTGGACGGTTCCATTTCATCAGTGTTATCAGATTGTGTTACTTGAAAAATACGACAGGATTACGTTACTTCTAAACCTCCCAATGAGGAAACTGATTACAGGAATCAGGAACTGGTTACTTTATATTTTATTAAAATCCCTCTCATTCGTGGTTACATTTAGAGTTGTGCTGCTCAAGGCTCGCACGGGTCTTTGCTCGGCGAGAGACGATGGATACCGACGGGTGTTCACACGGTTAAATAGAGGGTTAAATAAAGGGAGCGTCGTGGTGGTGGCTGAGGTGACGTGGCTTCTATTGCAATGTGACATTCCTGTGGTTATGGGATGGGTGCAGCGTAGCTGGAGCGTGGAATGTGACCACGTAGTTTTTTTTAGTGAATTTTCAGGAGCCCCTTACAGACCGTCGTCTCTTCCATCATATAGCGCCCCCCCCCCCCCCCCCATTAATACAAACTCAAAAGTTAAAGGACGAACGCGTCGGCACGCAGGTGGCTCGCGGAGCGCCGGGGTTAGAGCCACTGAGCCGATGCGATGAAGTTCGAGTCCCGAGTTTCAAGCGCACGTGACTAAGCTGACTTTCTTGAGTGTGTAGGCGAGGTGATGATCTCAGCCTGGTAACCGATGACTCGCACCAAAATCCCCATCGCGTTAAATACATTTGGTTTCTGATGTAATCTGGAAAAATTCCAGCTCTGGGAGTTAACACACGCAAAAACCACGTGATGGACATCACCGCCTCTGCAGCAAAGGGAGCGTGGGAAACTGCAACGCCCCTAACATGGATCAGTGGTCAATTGGTGGTCAATTGACGGGATCTCGGAAGTAGTTGGGGTGCCATGGTGGCAAGATGTTAACTAACTCGCCTGGTATGGAGGAGGTTGTGGGTTCGATCCCAACCCTGACCACTGTATGTTCTCCCTGTTCTCCCTGTGGTCGCGTGGATTTTCCGCCGGGTTCTCCAGTTTTTTCCTCCACATGTAGAATCAACATCGCACGTTTAGAGTGGTTGGCTTCTATACATTTCCGCGTGATAAGCCACTTTGTTGAGCTATCGCTTGTGGCCAGGTTGCTTATGATAAAGAGCCATAGAGCTCAGTGGACTATAGTTTTAGAGTTGGGTGATATCTTCTTCCGCAGACCGTTCTTTAATGAAGGGTGACGTGCGACGCCCGATAGCGCGGTTTGAGCAAAACGTGCACCGGCATTGGGGGGTCCAAATATTTCCAATCTCGAAAATGACATCGCAAATTACTCACTTGGGATTATGACACAGCAGCAATCGTCAGCCCCTGCCAGCAGCAGTAGACGGATGTCCAGAGTCTCTCATGCAAATGAGACCCATCCTGATCTTTTGAGTTGTCACCTGGTTAATAAACTTACTGCTCCTTGGCCACACGGACACCTCGAGCAGACAGAAGCTTCCTTCACCACAGAGACAGGGTGGCTTCACCTCGATCTTTTGCACTTCTCCCTCTCTCTCGATGTCTCTCTCTCTCTCTTTTGCCATCACCACTCTCCCCTCACCGCTTCTCTGCCCCCCATCCACCCACCCCCACCCTCCCTCTGCAGTTGGAGAGCGAGATTTGCCGGCTGTCATCCGCCTACCACACCATGGTGGAGTCCTCCAACAAGCGGGAGGCGCTTGAGAAGTCGATGCGCAGAAAGATGGAAGCGGAGATCAAGCGGCTATCTGAGCTCAACCGCCAACTGATGGGTGAGTGTTCTCGCCACGCGCGGCTATCGGCTATCGCGGAAGAAAAAAACACGACTCGTGTTTGTGGGGTTTTATTTTTTAACGTAGGGTGGTTAGCCCACCACGTCGATGGCCCGGTGAGGTTCGTGTTGTCGTTCGGACACCCTCCCAACCCGGCATAGCCGGCACGGCCTGGCACGGCCCGGCATGGCCGGGACGAACAACGGTTTACGTGCGCGAAAGGCGTTCCGGCGACTCGCCAATCCACGTTGCATGGAATGGACTCTCGCAGCCGACTCTGGCGGAGAAAGGGGGTGGGCCACGTTTGGATTTACCCACAGCTGAAGGGGGGGTTTTGTTTTCATCAAATCGCTCGGTGTAGTCCTGCCGTAGAGAAGTTGGTTAACAACACAAACGAAGAACAAAGTGCCGGCCTCCGTCAATCGTTGCTCTTCACTGGTGCAGGTTGCTTAGCTGTGACCGGGAATCGAACTCGGTCCGTCGGGTTCATAGAACAATGCTCACTCAACATCGTCGCCACTGGGGAGACAAAGGCGGCCGGGCTTGATGCTAGCCACCCCACCCCCTGTGCGTACCGTTCCGGCCTCCTAGGTGCCACTCGCTAACAGCACTTGCCCCTACAGTCTGTTAGAGCTATACGGGGGGGTCTTTGTCCCTGTCTGTGTGTACATGCGTGTGGAGAGCGGTAGCTCGGCGGGTATTGTACCACGCCATGAACCCAGTGAACCTGAGTTTGATTCTTAGCCAAGGCTAACGTCAGCGGCAAGCAACATCTCAGAACTGCTCCTGGGACTCTCCAAGGTCAAAGATGGTCACCGCATCGCGCTGCGCTTTCAGGTGTACTTCTGGGGCCGTCTGGAACGCTCTTCCGTGCCTCGCAGCCGTGCCGACCTTAATAGACGCTTGCTAACAGCACATTCCCCGACAATAATCCATAGAGCTATATGGTAACCTTTTGTCGTGTGTGCTCTGTACGTGTGCGTGAAGGTGGGGAGGCGCTCACGAGCGATAGATGCGCCGCGGAGTTTGAAGGCCGCGTGAGGGATCTGGAGGAGGCTCTTGGCATGGCCCGGGAGAAGAACAGTCGGCTGCAGGAAGAGGTGAGGCCTCCCCATTGTGCACTGCGTTGTTGGACACTAAACAGTCGTCTGTCTACACCCGCCTGCATCCACCATCCATGCGGACGTTTGCGTAACTTAATTTTACTCCCAAAGTTTAAACAAAAAAAATTGTCTGAGCCAACTTTTTCACGATAAAATAAATTCTTTAAAATATTGATGTCGGGTTTTGGGGTGTATTTGACTTCTCATGTAACGCGATTGCTTCGATTTCCATTTTCTTCATTGTGATTCTAAATTCAAAACTAATTTATTTAGAACTGCTTGTTGTTGTGTTTAGTTTGTTGTCCATTCCCGCACCTCTGATTAGCACGGTTGGCTACGTACAGTGCCAAATAAGTTCAATGTACAGTAACATACTTGAACATTGTTTAGATACTGTTGCTTTTGTTATTTTGGTGACCCGGGTGAGTCTTGCGACTCAGACTCTATCCTCACCACTTGGGTTCTCACCCTGGTTCAACAAAATTCACTTGAAGGAACCCCCCCCCCTAGTTTTGCCCCCCACTTCTTATATTTTGACGATCCAACCGGAGTGAAAAATAAGTTGTAAAAAAGTTTAATTTGCTTAACCGGGTGATGACTCGTTGCAAGAAACACCTGGGTCGTCGACATGACGAAGGCAACAACAAACGCAGCGCAGCAATGGAACAAAAATAGAGATCGGAGCAAAAGCAAAACCACGTCTCGGATGCATCTGGAGCCACTTTCACACCCGCCAGTGGTCGTCTATCGTACCGTGCGCATTCAAGTCAGACGCACGACGTTTCGGACGCCTGCCAATCGTGTGATGCATTTTGGTGCCTAACATCGGTGGCAAATGGCAAATCTGAACTCCTGCCGTAGGTCAACTGGCTAGCTCATCGGATTTCTCCAGTATACATAAAAATTCGGCCATCGCGTTCCGTAAAACATCAGCGCCGGGAAGGCGAAGGCACTCGCACACTTCTTACTCACTCCTCACTTACTCACTCACTCCACTCACTCGTTCCTAACTGCACTCGCCTCACTCGCTCGTATGCCGTGCCGACCTCAACAGCCGCCCGCTAAATGGGTGCCATGTTTGCGTCTGTGTCGCCCCTCCTGCAGCTGCAGCGGAAGGTTGCCTGTGAGCACAGGGTGGAGACTCTCCAGGCAGCCCTGGCTCAGCTGCAGGCAGCAGCGGGAAAACGAGACGTCATGGAGCAGAGGCTCAGAAGCCACCTGGAGAAGGAAGTGCAGAGGCTCAAGTTGCAGCAGGTACGGCGTGTGACTGCTCCTCACTACTCGCTCGGTCGCCCAATGAGCCGCGCGAATTCGCTCGCTTGACGATTCGCTCTCTTGCTGCTCAAACACTCTGGCCTATTCACTCACTCAATAACTGCCCCACTCACTCACTCGCTACCTAAAGAATTCGTTTCTCCTGCCGCTGCTACCACTAAGACCACGCCGGTGTTCTTCCGAGGAGCGTTGCGTGCCTGCGGTCACAACGAGACACAACTCCCATCACCTTCCGCGTCACACAACACCTCAGCTCAGTCCCTCGCCACAGAGTTCACTCGACCGACCAACTAACTCACCAACTAACCAACTAACTCACCAACTAACTCACCAACTAACCAACTCACCAACTAACTCACCAACTAACTCACCAACTAACTCACCAACTAACTCACCAACTAACCAACTAACTCACCAACCGAGCAACTAACCAAGTGAGCGACCGACCAACCGACTGATCACCAACCGCCGACACCGCCACTCACGTCCTCGCACCGTCCCTCCCCACCGCCCAGCGCCCGGCGCCCGGAGCGGACCCCACGGCGGCGACACCGTCGTCGCCCTCGGCGGCGCAGGGAGCCGGCGCCCCGGGCCCTGCGGAGGACGACCTCCCCCGGCTGCGGCGAGCGCTGGAGGAGCAGGAGTCGCGCCTGCTGCAGCTGCAGGCGGAGTCGACGCGCTGGGAGCAGCGCTACCTGGAGGAGCGGGCGCTGCGCCAGTTCACCACCGAGGCCGCCGCCACCGCCGCCACTCACCGGTGAGAGCGCCGGCGGCTCCCTCCTATGGCCACTTCGTCGGTGGGGTTGGGACGGAGGGTTCGGGGTTGCCAGGGTGTCGCACGGGCGGGCGGGGGGGTGAGGGGACGGGGGGCCGAGGGGGTGGCAGGAAGGGGGGAGAGGAGCCTTCCGCAATTCAGGTGGAGGAATTAGCGGGTGACGTTCGCGTAAACGGTGACCACGGTGGTAGCAATAGTAGAGGGACGAGGAGGCGACCGACCGCCGGTGAGCGACTGGTGCCGATCGATGCGCATGCTGCAAGTGGGAGCTAAACGTCGGGACAGCGTCGTGCCGAATCGACGCGACGGCACGACTCGAGAGAGAGAGAGCCGTTCGCAGCGCGCGGGCGAGTCGACTCCACACTCGCGTGATCCGTGACCCCCCCATGACCCTGAGCACTTCTGCCCTTCCCTCCCTTTATGCCTCTTCGACGCGCAGGGACACATCGTCTATCCTGTGGGAAGATCGGGCGAGCCCGGTGAGCGACAACAGCGCCGACTTCAACGCGGCTCAACGGCGCTGCGCCGAAATGGAGAACAGGTGAAGAGAAACGATCACGTTGGAAGGTCGATGCTCGGCAAAGCGCTCGCCACAAATGAACAGCTATGCCTCCTCGCCCATCTCGTCAGCAAGGGGCGTAAACCGTCATCATTCTCGCAGGAGCAGCAGCAGCGGCTTTTGACTGGCTGTCCAACAAAGATGGTCACGGCATCGTGTGGCGCTTTTGGATGCTATTTTGCAGCCGTCTGGAATGCTCTTCCTTCCAAAATTATGAAGCTACTCGAGCTACACACTTTTAAATCATCATTTAGATTGAACAACTCATGTTTTTAACGCTGCTTTTTGTGTGTTTATTTTGTTGTCCTCCCACACCACCGATTAGCACGGTTGGTTACGTACAGTCCAGAAAAAGTTATAAATACAAACATACGCACGGGGCGTGTGTGCATGCATCACCTTCACTCGCATCCCCCGATGTGTGTGGTGTGTGTGTGTGGTGTGTGTGGTTTGTGTGTGTGTGTGGTGTGTGTGGTGTGTGTGTGTGGTGTGGTGTGTGGTGTGTGTGTGTGTGTATGTATGTGTGTGTGGCGGTCGTGACGATGGTGATTACGGTGGTGGTGGCGGTGATGATAAGGATGCTGATGATAAGCATGATGCTGATTATGATAATGCTGTTGCTGCTGATGATGAAAACGATGATGTATATGTTGATCCTGCTGCTGGTGGTGATGATACTGATGATGATTATAGTTATGATGTTGATGATGATACTGATAATGTTGATACTGATGATGTTCATGATGATACTAATGATGATGTTGATGTTGATGATACTAATGACGATGTTGATGCACCGTAGGCTGCGAGGACTTCACTCCCAGCTGCTGGAGCGTGATGCCGTGATCCGTGTTCTGCACTCGCGAGCCGGAGTCTGCTCCGAGGCGACGGGTCCAGGCACGGCAAGAGACCTGGACTCGAACCCTCGTCCAACCTCCTCACCATCGTCACCATCGTCACCATCAGCAGCGGCAACAGCTCACAGCCAAGCTCAACTCAATGGCACAGGTAACCCTTCGGCGGATGACGTTACAAACGGACAGGAAGTCGCTTTGTTCTTTGGGTCTTTCGGTAAAGTCACGTAGATAGGTTCAAAGAAAATAACAAAAAATATCCAAAAAATTATAAAACTATGACGTTTCGATCGCAACGCAACAAGCGTTCATCATCATTAGGAAGACGAAACAGGGGGAAAGCTGCTGAGGCAGACTGTTTTAAAGATTCAGCATTTTCTTGCTGTCCGACCTGATGAGGATTGCTCTTGTTGCAATCGGAACGTCGTGATTTGTTTTATTTTATTTTATTTCTACCTACGTCACTTTACCGAAAGAAGTGGGCGGAGCTTGTAATGTTAATGTGATAAATTAGCATGTTAATGTGAGAGATGAGCATGTTAATGTGAGAGATGAGCATGTTAATGTGAGAGATGAGCATGTTAACGTGAGAGATGAGCATGTTAATGTGAGACATGAGCATGTTAATGTGAGAGATGAGCATGTTAATGTGAGAGATGAGTATGTTAATGTGAGAGATGAGCATGTTAATGTGAGAGATGAGCATGTTAATGTGAGAGATGAGCATGTTAATGTGAGAGATGAGCATGTTAATGTGAGAGATGAGCATGTTAATGTGAGAGATGAGCATGTTAATTTGAGAGATGAGCATGTTAATGTGAGAGATGAGCATGTTAATGTGAGAGATGAGCATGTTAATGTGAGAGATGAGCATGTTAATGTGAGATCGCAGAGCAGCAATGTCGAGCTAGGCGAGCGAGGTGGCTGTGTTAGTGTGGGAAATTTAACCTGTTAATGTAAAATCAGAAAGCCGAAAATAATAGCAAAAATCGAAAGGTGGTAGGATGGGAACATCACAGCCAGTTATGACTTAAACTGGTTGATAACGTCCTTCCATTGATTGCTCAGTTTTAGTTATTTTCTTTGAATCTAAGAATATGGATTCCTACAGTCACGGAAGCTTTAAGTCAGGAAGTCGGTGGTCAAAATGTAACGACCAGACAGGAATTCCACAAGAGTCATGTTTGTGATAGAGCTGCGGTGATTGGTTCACGGTTAAATCCGGCCGGGTGGCTCGCCGGTTGAGGAGGCGGCTGGCAATCGGGTTCCAAAATCCTGGTTGGGAGATCACTTAGCCCATCATCCTCTGGGGGTCGATAAACATCGATAAAATGAGTACTACTTTGAGAGGAATTCAACTATGATCCTGTTGAATTTCCACCACTGGCTCTGTGCAGGGCAGTAAACAGGAGATGCTCAATTGAGCCAGGAAATTATTTAGGATAAAATTTTCCCCCCTCCAACGATGGTTCGTCAGAAGCCGCTGCTGCTGCGAGGATGAAACATGACGGCTCTCTGTCGATACGGATTCGGGTCGTCCTGCTCCGCGTTGTTCGGCACGAGGTCCGACCTTTTGCTCCATGTGCTGTGCCAGGGGGGTTCTTGAGGAAACATCGGACACTGTGTCGATCGGCATGCCGCAGAAGCACCACGAACGCCCGCGCGGCGTAACGCGTGAGACGATCAATTCTAATAACTGTGTGCGTGTGTGCGTGTACTCTCCATATTCCAGGGGGTCACGAAGAACCCGGAGCTCCGAGCGGTCGCGACGACGGAATGATGGGAGTCACAATTGGCCGAGAAGCATCGCGAGATTCTGGAATCCTGATTGGCCAGGAGCCCGAATGGGCCGGCTACTGCCTCGCGGATCTGTCCATGGAGCGATTCAACCGGGAACGGCAGGAGCACTGCACGCGGAGTGAACTCGCGCCCTCGGCCCCATCCGCATCATCGCCATCATCGTCGTCGCCATCGTCATCGCCATCACCGTCGTCGTCCCTCTGCCCCAAGATGCTGATTGGTCGAGAGCCGTCACGCGACTCGGGAATTCTGATCGGTGACGGCGACGTGGACGAGAGCGAGGGGCGGTCGCAAGGTGTGGCGGCTGCGATGACGTCGTCGTCGTCGTCGTCGTCATCGTCTTCGTTGTCGTCGCTGCAGTCCCGCTACCGGTCAAACGCCGGCACGCAAACGGACAAGGGGGTGGCGCAGGACAGGCCTCAGGCTCGTGCATCGGACACCGTGGAAATCCTCATCTGAGGCACCCAGCGGCTTCGCCCCGCCTTAGGGGGCCCTCGGAAAGGCGAAGGCCAAAGGTCAAAATAAACACGGCGGTGTGCATAACCGTCGCCGTTGACGGCACTCGGCCAGCAGCGGAAGTTCCTCATTCCTACGGGCGGGCGGGCGGGGCCCGCCGGTCTTTCCAAAAGAACGACCGCTGCTGGCCTCTCACTCTAAGCAGTACTTAATTTTAGCCGATCCGGAGGAAAGAAGAAGATGATGGGTCGAGTCGACCTCCTGGTGGGGATTTGAACTCGTTAAAACCCGAACGAATAAGCGACTGTTAATTTTTGCTACCTACGGCTGTGGTGTGAACGGGGCCTCTCTCCCGCCTAAATGTGTGAACAGTGGAAGGCGAAGGGGCATCCCTGGAGTCGCTTGAGTCACGCCACCGCTGGTGGAAAAGGGGCCTCCGCCGTGGAGAGCTCGCTCCTGTTCTGCCTTTCGGCCGAGTGTGGAAGCACGTCGGGGCTCTTTTTACTTCGCTCGCTGTTTAATCAAACAAAAAGAGGACAAAGATCACTGTTGCCGTCGGCGAGCAGCTAGGAAGGGCCGGCACGGCGCACGAACGGGGTGGGTGGCCAGCGCCACGCGACGTTTACGCATCGCACCACGTGCAGCGCTAATTTGAGGCCCAGTCGACCCAGGGGAGGCCCAGGACCGGTTCAGATAATCGTCGCTGGGCGACGGCGGCCATGGGCGGGAGTCGAACTCGGGCGGCCGGGTTCAGAGCGCGGCGTAGCGCTAACCGCCACGCCACCGCTCACCACCACCACCACCACCAACCAACCAACAGCACCAACGCAATGGTCACCGAATGAGTTTGCTGAGCATTGCGAGTTGAACGTCGAGCCTCTCCAGCGTGTCGTTCGACCGTGCCGCGTGGAAACGGCGTCCGACGTTTCGTCTCCCTTCCCCCCACGTGCTTTGGGGGGGAGGGGATAAGCATCGCCAACGCCTGAACTGGGAGACCGAACCTATATTCGGTTTCCTGAAGAAGGCTCCCAGCACTTGGGAGCGAAACGTCGGACGGCCGCGCCAGAGCCCAAAAACCGTGAAGCACGTCGGGAGGTTGCAGAACGGTGAGAGGACTCCAGGCCGCTCGGCACCGATGGTTGACCACAAAGTCCGGGTCATGACACCGCACGGTTGGCAATAACAACAACAACAATGTCTTTGTTGCAGTTGTCCTCGATGCTGCAGTTATTTGCGTCGTATTTAACTATTTATGTTCAATCTGTCCTCCGGTGACTCGTGGTCAGAATGTATTATTATGATGATGATGATTATTATTATTTTGGGAGGAAGAAAATGTGGCTGATGAACGATTATAGAGATTATTTGGGTCCGTTTGTGCGTTTTGTTTTCTTGCGTTTATATATCGACGCCATGTGAACTTTAGTGTGCATTTAAACTCTCGTAATGTTTTTAGCCTTGCGTGAGGATGTGTTTTATGTCAGGATTATGGCCCACTTCGCAATTCGGACTCCAGTGATGAGTTCACAACCTTTCTTAGGTTGTTAACATCTTCAGCAGCAGCAGCAGCAGCCACACCATGAGTTTCATCTGCTGCGTTTTGTCAACAGTATTTGTTCAGAGGATCGACTGGGTCTCACCATAGGAATGTGGAATTTCGCACCAATGGAGAAGGGCACTTGCCTGCGCTCGTGTAAGCAGGGAGACACCATGGACTGAACTCATTTGGAAGTTCCTGATTTACATCCCTGATTTACATCCCTGATTTACATCGCAAAAAAACACGCACAAAGAGAGTTTAAAAGAGATTCATAACATTGTAGAAATATCTTTGCCAGTCGCTCACATTTGCGAACAACCCCGATTCCTCAGCTGGCCTGATGAAAAAAGGATCGCATCCGTCTGTGTGTTTGTGGGCGCGTGGACCGCGCTTTCGAAATTCAAAGCGCCCTCGTGCACGTGTCAATATGTGAATGCGAAGGACGCTGCTGCTGCTGAGCGATTGGAGGCAGTCGCCCTCCAGCAGCAATGGAGGCCGGAGGAGTGACGCTCGCAACAACGAGCGGAGCACCGAGTGGCTCAAACACAGCAAGTAGGCACAGTCAGGGGGTACAGCTGGTGTGCATCTACCAGCCGTCTCAGTCGGTCAACCTACGGCACCTGCTGGGTTTGTTCCGAGACCTGTCAGCGAGCCTTCGACGCTTCACATGGCCCCAAAGTGCACCTGGCCTGGCCCAAGTGCCATGGTGACGTCGCCGCCGCTTGGTGTTGAACGCCCGTCTGTTGATCATATTTTCATTGCCTCGATATCCGATTTGTATCAGAAATCGATTACGCTTCACGATTATCTGCTCAGATTTACTGCTACTTGTCAAATGGCACGAAGATGGTGAGAGGGGAGCGGTCGAGTCTCGCTGGACGGGGAGCTGATGGTGACGTCGGCAGTGGGTAAAGTACCGTCGGTTGACGATGGTAGTTGGATGAGTTACTCAGCCTCAGCGTCCCGGCCCGGAACTCGAAAATGGGAATTGTGGGCCAGACGATTTGCGACACCTATTTGTTGTTTCGGCCAAGAAGAAAAAAACAAAACATTACAATTTCAGCAAGGTTATTTATATTGTTTAATGTACGCATTTGTCGCTTAATCAATGTCGGTTTAACGCATCGACTCGTTCCACGGGACCGCGGGTGCGGTGTCCGGTGGGAGCCCTGCGAGGCGTCACGCTCTGCTGCGCGCGGGGGCGCGTGCGTTGCTGATGACACTTTCGATGAGGTTGTGTTGGAGGTGATGCTTCCAATCGACGGCATATTTATGAGAACCAAAGAGACGACGCTTTTGTGGCGGCGCTATCCCAACTTGTGTTTTGAAGGCTTTAAGTAGACTAGGAATTATTGTTGTTGGCTCACTTGTCACATGTAAAAGTGTTTGTCATTTAGTAATTGATGTTGGGGCTAATCCATTGCGTGGCCGATAGATTATCGTAACGCTTGTACAGCCTAAGGCGGCCGTGTCGGTAATATTTACAGCGGCGTCGCATTCTCTCTATATATTTTGTATTCCTATTCAAATTTTAGTTTTTTGCATATTTATGTACACGTGCCGTATTTGTATTCCAAGTGATTATTTCTCCACCGCCGCCTCCCACCACCACCACCACTCACCCACCGCCAGCCCGATAATCACGACCGCTTTCTCTTGTTCCGAGCTTGACAACGCGAACATTTCTCTCCCCCCCCACCCCCACCATGCGAGCCTCGGCACGGCCGGGTTGGCCCTGCGGTGTCTCTACCACCACCGTCGTCGTGTGCCGACCGCGTGGCTCGGGGGATTGACGGCCGGGGGCGACGCGCGGTTCAAATGGCTCGCGAGTGTGGCCCGCGTGGTTCACGCCACAGGGTGGCTATGAGATGTTCACTACCTCGCCTGGTATACAGGAGGTCGCGGGTTCGATCCCGACACTGAATACCTTCTGCTGTATTTTTGGAGTTTGCGTTTCTCTCTGCCCACGGTCGCGTGAATTTTCCTCCGGGAACTCCGGTTTTTCCCTCACATTTAGAATCAACATCACGCGTTTAGAGTATTTGACTACTGCTATAAATGTCCACACAGTGATAAGCCACTTCGTTGAGCTGTCATTCGTGGTGGTAGCCAGGTTGCAAACAAGCGACATAGCTCAGCGTACCTTAGCTGGTAAAATACAACGAGTTGAGTAGTTTAGGTTATGTCGCTCGACAGCCATCACACTGCTGGCAGACGGGGGGCTCCAGTGAGAGAAGGCGGCCCTCTGCAAAAGGGCCCCGTCCCGTGGCTGTTGTCCTTGGTCTACTCTTCCACGCCGGTCGGGCCGCGTCTTGGAAGACGAGGTGGGAGTAACCGACAACTTCGAATTACTCTTCTTTGCCTCTCGTCAACGACATCGGGAATACGAGAGGCGAGGCTCACGTCGTCATCATCGTACATTGAAACGTTCCAAATGTTTTAAAACGTCGTAACGAGCGCACTGTCGTTATGTGTACCTCCTCGGTGTTTTAAACAATGATAACGCAAGGGTGGTGGTGGTGGTGATAGGGAGGGGGTGGTGATTTAAATAGTCCATGGCCCACGTTCCAAAGCATCGGTCAAATCTCCGCTGTGCAGAAGCCGCGAGCCCTTCTGTCGTCGTTGGGAGTTCAGCACGAGAGAGGGAAAACGACCAGACGATTGGCGTGTTTCGTCAGCACTTCACTTCATAAATGTTTCCTTCAAAGAAACCCATCGCAGTAAACTTTGATGTTCGTGTTGTACGTGCGAGCTTGTTGATCTTACCGTGTAATCATGTTTAACCTATTTATCTATTGCTCCTTGTTATGATTGGAACGCTATTTTATAGTCCTAAGTTTTAGTCTAAGAACAAAAAGCATTTCAATGTGTTTTATTGTTTTTCAGGCTGGCCATGCAGTCACATCAAGTTGAACTTTCGTATTTACAACCAAACTTGGACAATGCTCGCGTGTATTTGGCTTTTGCGACGTAGCCTCTGTGCTTGCAGCGCCTACGTTGAACTTGCTTCGCAACCACACTGCACGTAGCCAACCGTGCGGGGGGGAGGACAACGAGGGGCTGCGTCACAGGGCCGAGTCGACTTGGCTGGTCACAGCGCCGGTCCTCGCGCTCCGCTGCAGCGACATGCCAGGTTCACCGTGGCAGCAGCGGGGAACGAACGCTCAGGGGCCACTTCGTCGCAAGCGTCGCAATAATCGCCGCTGCCGTGCGTGAGAGTGACGGCTCCCTGTCCGTCGCGCACGATTGCCCCGCGAGCGTGCGAGTGCTTCGTGCGTGAAAGTCGCGTCGCGAACCGCGGCGTCGAAGCCGTCGGCTTCTCCGAGTGCAGTATTTAATTCGCTGTCCGCTTGCTTCGTGGCCGCGGGCCCCAACCGCGTGGCCACGCTCTGGCCCCGCTGTACGGGGCAGAGGCGTCCGTTCGTTTGTCCGTTACGGCTATCAATAAATTATTTATTATTGAAGAAACAACAAGGTGAAGTGTGATTGATGCACCCTTGTAACGCGCGTGTGTGTGTGTGTGACGACGATGACGATTATGACGACGACGACGATGATGATGACGACGATTATGACGACAATGGCAACGACAATATCATCGACGACGACAATGACGATATTGTTCTCGTCATCGACGACGATGATGATCACGACGATGGTCTCCACGAGACCACCCCAGCGGCTGCTGTCCCGCCAGGGAGGACAAGGAGTCATTTAGGGGCGGAGTCGCTGTCGGGAGTGCAGGCGGTGCAGCTTTGCTGGGGGGGGGGGGGGGGGGGTACCAGGGACCCGAGAGAAAGGGGGGTTAATGAACTCCTCTATAGGAATTAAAGCACCGTGATATTTCGTTACACTTGTGTATCAAGGAGAGCTTCGCCCAGGCTCAAGACTCCTCGTTTTCTGGAGGGTCCACCTTCACGTGTTGGCAGAAGGGGATGGGTGGCGAGCCTCGGCGCCTTTCCAAATCGCCTCGATTGCAGGGAAATTTTTCACATTTTTGGCAAATTTGAACCATGTCACCGGCACACGATGGCCTACTCTTCTTCAAAATGATGTTATTGTTAACGTCCACTTGTTATACACCCGCAGTATTCATACATCCACACCTCGATTGGCACAGTTGGCTACGTATGGTGCGAAAGAAGTTCAACCTTCGTACGTGCATACATAACGACACTTTTATATATTTACGTAATCTGACCCAAAAAACATCTGTTATGTATACATATGATACACACACGCGTACAAACTGTACATACAGTACATTAACCAGGGCAGGCGACCGGATTCGAACCGCGAACCTCTGCAACAAGCAGCCAGCACGTTGCCAATGAGCCATTTCACCGCTCCGAAATATCGTGGGAAGAAGGAGGAGAAGAAGAACGTCCGTCTTGAGATGTGCATCATTATTACAGTCGTCCGTTTACGCAACCGACATTAAACGGAGATATTTTTTTGATGTCCATGGGAGCTTTAGAGACTTCCCAGGATGTCGGTGGCTCCGGCCTCGATCAGGGGGCGCTACTAGGAAAACCGGGACGGGTGGCAACCTGCACCAGAAGGCCCAGGTGCTGGGTTACACGGGGGGGGTGGGGGGCACCATTCCTCACACCGGTGCCTATGTCAACCATGACAACCATTGACGGCAGTAGAGGGCCAAAGTTTAACAAATATACTCGTACAGGGATAACCTTTGGGCCACTCTGTTCTGGGGGCGCCACGGTGGCTAGGATATGTTAACTACCTCGCCTGGTATACAAGGAGGTCGTGGGTTCGATCCCGACCCTGACGCCTGCTGTGTATTTGGAGTTTGCGTGTCTCACTCCCAGTGGTCGCGTGGATTTTTCTCTCCACATTAAGAATCAACATCACGCGTTTAGAGTATTTGGCTGCTATAAATTTCCACCGTGACGGTACAACACTTCGTCGTTGGGCTATCATTTGCGATAGCCAGGTCGGTTCTAAAAAATAGCTGGAGAGTTCAGTGGGCCTTAATTGCTCAAATAAAAAAAAATAGTTCAAAGTTTAGTTTAACTACCCCCCATGGGAAGAGTCTAGACCAGGGCTCGGCAACCTAAATAACAAGAAGAGACATTTTTTTTCTCATTCTGTATAAACCCCATCAATATTTCAATGCAATGTATCATGGACCACCACCGTTTCGGTGGTGGTCCATGATAGAGAACGCGTCTCACGAAGCATTTCCTTAAGAAAGCCGCAGGTCGCCGACCCCCTGCTCGAGATCCTGCATCTGATTATAGTCCACGAGACTCGCAGTGCAATTGGGTTCACATCTTGGGGAAAATAAACTCATAAAAAATGTCAAGAGTTAAAACGGGGACCACGCCGTGGATAGTGACCGTGCCGGGTAGTGGCGATTCGTTGCTCCCGCCCCGTGACAACGGCACGCATCTTAATGTCCTTCAGCACAATTCCCCACGCGTTGCTCGCTGACCTCCTGTCTGGCCACGTCGATGCTGCGCATTCCTAGCGGCTGCTTTGCTTTCAGAGAGTCTCCCGGGGAACCGAGTCGTCTTCAAAACACCACGTCACTCTCTCTCTCTCCATCCCTATGTCCCTCCCCGTGTGACCTCGCGTGGCGTGTGTGTGTCTGTGTGTGTGTTTGTGTGTATGTGCGCGCGTGTCTGTGTGTGTGTGTGCCTGTCTGTGTGGGTGAGCGCATATGTGTGTGTCTCTCTGTGTGTGCGTATCTCCGTGTGTGTGCGTGTCTGTGTGTGCGTGTCTCTCTGTGTGCGTGTCTCTCTGTGTGTGCGTGTCTCTCTGTGTGTGCGTGTCTGTGTGCTTGTGTCTCTTTTTCTTTGTTGGGTGTGGTTAGTATAGCGGTTAGCGCGGTGTGCGAGGAGTTCGATTCCCGATCACGGCCAACACCAGTGATGATTAGTTGAACCGGTCCTGGGTCTCCCCTAAGTCGACTCAGCCTCAAATGAGTACCTAATGCGGTGTGTAAAGGCGGCCGGGCGTGGTGCTGGCCACCGACTCCCTCGTGTGCCGTGCTGGCCTTCGTAGGTGCTCGCTAACAGCACTTGCCCCAACAGTCTGTCACGACTATACGGGGGATCTTTGTAATTGTTAGTTGGAGGCAGTCGCCCTCCAACAACAACAGCGACGGGCAGAGGAGCGACGCTCACAACAATGAGCAGAGCGCCGGGCAGATGAAACTCGGTGAACCCATACAACCTGGGTCTGTCCCGTGGCCTCCAGCAGCGCGCCTTCGACACTTTTAACGCGATGGCCTCAACAGTGCACAGAGTGCTCATGGCGAGCACTCCTTAATTTGTCTTCTCGGTTCGATTTTCTGGCGCGCCAGTTGATCCAATGGGGCAAGTTTTTTTAATCGACCCCTCTGTCCATCCCTCTGTGTGGTGGGGTAAAGTGTGAGTGCGATGGAGTGGTGTGGCCAGTATGGGGGCCGCGGTGGCTATGAGATGTTAACTACCTCGTTTGGTTTACAGAAGGTTCTGGGATCGATCCCAACCCTGACGCCTGCTGCTGTATATTTGGAGTCTGCGTGTCTCTCCCCACGTGGTCGCGTGGATTTCTCTCCGGGTCCTCCGGGTTTCCCCTCCACATTTAAAATCAACATCACGCGTTTTGAATATTTGTATGCTGCTATAATTGTCCACTTGACGATAAGCCACTTCGTTGAGCTATTATTTGTGTTAGCCAGGTTGCTTCTGAAAAAGCGCTATGCAGCTCAGTGGACCTTACTTTGTAAGATAAATAATAGTTTATAGAGGAGTAAACCTAAAGACCTTCTAGCTGGAGGCCATATGTCATAAGTGGCGTGAGGAAGCAATTGCTGGGCTGCGCCTTTGTCCTTGACGTGTGCACAGTAAGGTTTAGGTGGTGGGGTGGTGCAGTCGTTAGCGCACTGAGCTACGAACCCGGCGACCCGAGTTCGCCTCCCGCTCAGGGCCCAACATCGGTGGTGAACACCTGAACCGGTCCCGAGATTCCTTCTCGGTCGACTCACTCTTAGTGTATGTACCCGATGCGGTGTCTACGTATCATCACTCACTCGGGGAGACAAAGGTGGCCGCGCGTGGTGTCTGACCACACCACCCCGCTCCATAGGTGCCCCCGCGCCCGGCGTTCAAAGGCGCTACTCGTCAACAGCACTTGCCCCAAGAGCCCGCGCAGGCTCTACGGGGGATCTTTGGCTTTGTGCTCAGCACGTGTGTCCGTGTGCCGCTTTTTTCCCTCCATTTGTAGCCGCAAGGTATTCCAAACAGTGCATTTTTTTCTCGTTCATAGAACATCACCAAAAATAGAACGAACTATGCGTTCCAGTTTTTTGTGTGTTACTTTAATCATTTGTTCGGTCCCTACCCGGGGTCGAGGGGAGGGTGAGAGGGGGATATTTCCGTCTATAATAATACTTACTTTCACGAGGAAAACAGCAAAATTCCGATTCAATTAGGCGATCTAAATCTCCGGATTATCGGTGTGGTTTAAACAAAAACACTCCACTAGGATACTAAGGGAAACATTGTAGCGACGCCCATATTAGTGCCACTGGCCACTGTGGTAGGCTCACAGTTGTGACCAAGGGGTGGGAGTTCATATCCTGGTCCGTGAGTTCAACTCAGGGCACCGTCCTCAATCATCGTCAATCATATCAACATCAACAACATCATCATCATAAAGATATCAACATCATCACCACCAACCAGCGTTAGTGTCATCTTCTTCTTCTTCATCATCCACCCTGCCCCGTCTCTCATTTCATTATGGTCATTATCTCTACCTTGTATGCAAGTGGCTTAGCTGTCGAGTGTGCAGGCGGTGCAATTGCACCCAGATCCATGAGCCAAAGGGGCCCAGGCTCCGGGATTTGAAGAGGTGAGGGGGGTTGGGGGTGATGGGGAGGCGGGGGGTGGGGGGGAGCGGTAGTGTAGTGGTTAGTGCGCTGCACTATGAACCCGACGATCCGAGTTTGATTCCTGCTCACGGCCAAAACCAGTGACAATTATTTGAACCGGTCCTGGGCCTCTCCTAGATCGACTCAGCCTCATATGAGTACCTAGACACCCATCCCATCGTGTACCCTTCCGGCCTTCATAGGTGCTCGCTAACAGCACTTGCCCCAACAGTTTGTTAAGGCTATACTGAGGATCTTTGTCTTTGGGTGGGTGGGTGTCGGGCTGGATGGGGAAGAAATGGAACTGCGCTCTGCCCTTGCGCCGGGCTCTTTGCCAACCGTTCGTTGCGGTCGCTAGAAAGCAGGAGGCCACTTTCGCAAGGCGCAGCGGCAGCAGCAGCAGCAGTCAGCTGTGCTGGTGCTGAGAAACGAATCATCAGATTTGGGGGGGGTGCGGGGGCAAGATTCCCCGTGTGCGTTCATCGTGAACCGAACGCTGTGGTGGCTGAAAAAAAAATTCGAGAGAGAGAGAGGGCAATCCTCCATGCATGCGCAGAGAAATGTTGTAAAGCAAATGCCAGCTCGA